TTTTTGTTAATTTTTTTGGTTTTAATGATGCAAAATTAACGGTACGCATAAACAAGGTGAATTTCAGAGAGATAGAGCCGTAATCATTAATCAATGACGGCCAAGAACTCAATTTGCCACCGGTGGCGAGTTGACTCTCAGGGTGTTGTCCAGTTTTTTGCAGTGGCGATCAAGTTGACCTAATAAACTATTTCTAAGTATACCTTAATGCTCATTCAACAATATTCACGCAGCCTGAGGCGAGTATATAATTGTTATAGTATAATTGATCAGGTGCTTTCGAATTCTGATGTAAATTGTATTTCTTGTTGAAACCATTCTGTTACAAGTTTTCAAAAGAATTTAAAAGGTTTATTGAATTCAATCAGCAAAAACTTTATATCTTTCTTTTGAAGAGTGTTACGTCAAACACAGTGGCATCTTTTGGGCTCTTCAGAAATGAATTTCCTTCTATCGCGTTCATCACTCCCTAGGTTAATATAACAAAATGCGAGGCAGCCATCTTTTAATTTAACGCCCCTGCTGTTGTCATCTCATGCGAGGTGATTATAGCGAGATATGCCACAACCCTCGACCAATCAGAGCGCACATTTCGATAATCACCGGAGCAATTAAACTAATTCATCATTCTAATTGTACCGAATATACTTCACTGCTCAGTGCTTCGTAGGCAAGGATAATGTCACCGAAGGACCGGGAAGGATGTCGAGGCGAGGGAAGCTGAAAACACGTATGGATATAACCCGGAAAATCAGGTTATGATTTTGGAATCTTTATCTCGCAGGGGAATTTTTTCAATCGATGAAAATGGAGAGGGAAAAATGAAAAAGGGAACGGGTGACTAAATGCAAACATTTGTCGATAGACGAGCCTATGTAAATAAGTGTCACGGATGGCTTTGTGCACAAAGCCCCTTGAGTTCAGTGAATGGAAACAACCGACCACCAACTTTGAGTTTTTTGGAGCGAAAACGCCATTTCGGTATGATTTTGAATCACCAAACTGATCACATTCATAAAATTATCTTTATCAGTCGGTTACATTAGACTATGAACAGTCCCTGCCTTTTGGTGAAGTCCGTTGCGCTAGTCGAAAAAGGAAATAAATGCAACAAAAATAGATGTTCGCGCCCCGCGCCGAACTTTGAAAGTGGGCCTCACTCCCAGAGTTCCATGCACGACGGACTTTGCTGAAACGGAGAGACAGCTCGTAGTCTACGGTTACGTAATCGCAATCCTATTTCAGTGGCACTGAATGCATATGATAACCCCTCCCCCCCCACCTCATCTTAGTGTGTTGAATTATTTACAAATGTCATTTGAAAACCAATTTATAGGCGTTTTTTTTTCACAATTTCGGCAGAAAGCTGTAAAGTTGAACCGTTTCTGCAGATGTGCCACATCTTCTGAGACGGTCTGTCATTCAACTTGTCGAAATTGTGAAAAAAAGCCTATAAATTGGTTTTTGATGACGTACGTTTACAAATAATTCAACTAATTCGGAATGTGTGGAAGACTTTAAACAATCTCGATTATGGAGATGTTTATTGTTCACTTTTAATGTATTATATTTTTTTATTCAGCTTTTTTCGGTGGCTGCATTCAACTGTCAAACTTTCACTGCAAATGATTTCAAAACAAACAGCATAACGGGAATCTCGTTGTGAGGGTGTTTTAAATTTTCACGCATCAATATTATGTACGTATAACGCTATCTTAAAATATCTTTGGGAGTGCCTCTTTAACTTTTTAAAATATTTTTCCATTTGCCTCCCTGAAAGTATTACGGAGCTACCGATACCTGATATTTCAAGATTGCTGACGCCGTTTCGCCTGCACATGCGGCGCTAACATTCATATTCTGCATTTCCAAGAGGAGGTCCGCTTAATTTGAGCGAAAAGGTAAACTTTTCATTTTGCTGAAATAGGTAAAATGTTAAGAAACAAATCTTTCTGCCCGCCCACCTCTTAGTTCTTTGTATAAGACATGAGACATATTGACCAGTCGCTACAGGAATTGATAAATGAGCCAACGGGGAAATACCAGTCAGTGAAACGCTTATAATTAATTTTCGACAATCATTTCCTAAGATGGAAATGTTTTGACAAACGCTTGTCCCCTGACATGTGTTTCTTTGTCAATATGAACAACCATTGGGTCTATTATTTTCAACATTTTGCTGCCGACGAATTAGGATAAAATAACGAAGTTGCCCCAATTCTGTATGATAAAAAAGTAAAATATGTTTTTCGTAAAGAATGAGACATAACGTAAGGGAAGCTTTACAATTTATCAATAGAAGACAAAAAATTTAAAGGTAAGTCAGGTAGTTATAAAAATTACAAAAAAGCAAAGGATAAAAAAAGAACCTTAAGAAATAAACCTAAAAAAAACATATCAATTTACAGAAGTTTACTCGAACAGAGATATTGATTTATAATCTTAAAAGCTTGACATCACTTTAGTGCCGGTCCCTTTTGCCAATCCAAAAGGTTTTTATGCAAAATCAAAAGTGCACACTTGTCGTGATTCGAAATAAAAGCGCAGCTTGTTTTGTCCTTGATTTCCTTCTCCTTGCCGCTCTGTTAACCAGCAGGCGAGCACGAAAAATACAAGTCGGAAAGTTAGCTTCATTTTTTTCCCCACGGCGGCAATGTCCTTGAGGTGATATTGGACATGACATGTGAGTGTTTTTCATTACCATGCAATACTCTATTTTAGGCTGGTAACTGACTCCTATAGGACTTTTCGTTGAGAGCCCTATTTTATCTCGCGGCTTTTGCAATCTTAAGATGAAATTGGATTTCATTTATATTTTCTTTAAGGTCAGTTTAATTTGTTTCATTGACATTATTCTACCTTACACGTCAATGATGGCTCTAAAAGTGATTTTTGTTAAGAATCAAAGGCATCAATGACTGGCAGGAACTATTGTCTCATATTAAAAAAATTAAAGTCAACCTTGAACTTGATAAGCAGTAATCCACTTTGGTGGATTGGTGAAGGTCTAAACTGAATTTCTACAACATCGTTGCTTCATTTGACCTATCTGCGAAGCGGATTTTTCAATTTTAAGCGACTAAATTATCTATTAAATCTCGCCCTTCATAAAACTCGTCCTTTACATTTTGTTTTTCAGAGTTTCGTTAACATCTCAGTTGTAGACATTTTCAAGTATCTTCGATGCACTGTGTGTAAACAGTTGTTTGTTTGAATTTCAAATTTGCTTGAAACTAGCTCTTTTTTTCCTTGATCCTAGCCTAAGTCTTGCATCATCTAGTATATTCCAATTGAAAAGTTTGAGACCAAAAATGAAAATTTGTCAGAGGACACGATTAGCTACTCAAGCTAAAAGTCGACTTACTATTAATTTTTAATTTGTTGGCTTATTGCCTACAGAGGAACATTAAATGGAACTGGATAATGCGTGCAAATTCCGCTTGCACAAATTTCTCTAAGGCTTTCTCAATCTCTATAGAATCAATTTCATTGTTGCTCAGTTCTAAGAAAAAAACTGAAGAACATCTGCTGCAGAGTTCACGTTTCACATAAACTTGTCATCACAATTAGTGCTCTATGTCAAACTTTAAAAATGAAAAATAAACACCTTGTTTAAAGAAGACAGTCGACATCTATAGCGGAGTCTGCGGGACCTTTATGAGTCGATATCATTTTTCCTAGATATAGGTCAACAAGGAAGAATGTAGAGCAAACCATATTTTGGGTAATTATCGGTTTTGTTTCTATCCGGCAGAAAACATCTATAAAGGAGAAAAACCTGGAGGAAATTATCTAAATGCCAAAATTGACAGAAGGCATCAAACCCAGACGAAGATAAACGAAAAATCATAAAAAATTGCCCAGACTAACGGAGTAAGGTAAGATGAACTTGAAGGCTTTTGATAGGACATTGAAAAAAAACACAGTCACATTTTGACTGTGGTTTCTTAACCAGAATGCCATTATTATTTCTCGATGTGATTTTATAAGACTTTTATACCCCTGTCGGGGTATAAAAGCCTTGGATATGGCGAGATTTGAGTGTTACCTTGAGGCGGTAGTGTGGAATTTATAGAATTTCAGAAAAGAACAATATATCATTCATTCAAGGACAAGGTCTTTTTCTTTTTTGGAAATTTTCCCTGAGTCAAAGGGCGGTCAATCTTGTTTTACCGGAAGTAATATAAGACTCAGTAAGCCATAAAAAATGGCTACTTTAATTGTTGAACAGTCACGATGAAGGACGAGCACTTGTTGTTTACTGTAGATCTTTGGCTTGGTTCAAACGGCGAACTTCACATGAGACGAACCAAATTGTAAGAATTGACTTCATGTTGAATTCGAATCAGTTGAGTTCGTCCAACTGAATTTGGTTCGACCAACATGCACGTTCGCAGATTCGTATTTGGTACGACGAGTTCTATTCGACGTTTGAACAAACTGTCGACCATTACCCGTTTTATTTAACCAAAATTGCAATTTACATTCGTCTCATGTGAAGTTCGAATTCTGAGCTAGGCCTTAGCAAAAAAAAAAATTGCAACATTGTCAATTATAATTTTCCTTCCCAAATCAACTCATTAATATATAAGGCGATGTATGAAGGCAGGTAATTTTATTTTTTTATTTCTTTATTACAGGACTTAGAATTAATGAAAAGATGTCGGCGATGTATATGGCCTTTTCCATTGTCTTTTCCCTAATGGCGGTTCTGGATATCATTGGTAACACATTCGTCATTCTTGTTATCCTGCGAAACCAATCAATGAAGACACCTGTCAATTATCTGCTTGTCAATCTTGCTGTAGCAGACATACTGGTTGGTATTTTCTTTGGGATACAGTTCATCATCACCCCAACTCTAAATCACCCAGCGGGGAGGGCTGGTGATCTTCTCTGTAAACTCATTACAGGCGGTGTTCCTGGGTGGGTGGGTGCGGTAACTTCTGTCTTCTCACTAATTGCCATTGCTATTGAACGTTATTTCGCAGTGATGTATCCATACAGTCAGCGGGGTAAACTCACTAAGACAAAGATTATCTTCTTTGTTGCTGTCAGCTGGTTTCTTGCTTTTTTGTGGGCCGGAGTTGGATTTTTCATCACAGTTTACAACAGCGAATTGCAAAGTTGTGTTCACAGCTGGCCTAAGGATATTTACGCCAATATTTACACTGTTGGGTGGACTGTGGTGGCGGGAGTAATGCCTTTAGGCATCATGGGTTGTCTGTACGCACGTGTTGTGTACCGACTGTGGTTTACGGATCAGGAAAACGAGGCTACCCAGAGGGCATTGCTGCGCCACAGGAGGCGTGTCACAAAGCTTGTTATCGCTGTGACAGTTGTTTATGCGTTTTGTTGGGTTCCTGAGTTGATCATTTATTTCTTGGGTTTTACAGGGGTTATAAAATTACGAGCAATTCATTTTAATATTGCGTCAGCTCTGGTATTTTTTAACTCCACTGTTAATCCAGCTGTGTACAGCTTGCAGAGCACTGTTTTTAGACGACATTTTTGGAATCTTGTCTGTTGTCGAAAGATGCAGAACAAAGTGAATCCTACCCTAGAGCGTGATTCGATCTCAATTGCACGGAAAAGAACAAATCGGGCCAGCACCAAAGTGAGTTTCCTTCAGAGAAGGGAGGCAAATAACGCACAGTGATGATAAAACTGATTTCCTCATTACCCAGCCAAATAGATATTGCTACTTTTATTCGTCCCATTGATAAACAGATCGCTATTGGGAACCTCCTTGTGGCGGCTGAAAACTTTCCTTTTCTAGCAGCAAGCGAAGAAGCTGTTTTCTGGCGAGCACAATATTCATTTAGGAACATAAGAATCGATGGTCGGGATGGCGCAATTATATAGAACACCGGTATTTTCCTCTTGTTATCCCGCTCGCTTACTCTTAAACTGCGCACCAACGCGCTCCCCCGAAAAATAGGAGCGCCTAATCCGGCGCCAGTTACTGCGCTGACTGGCGATCGCTGAAGAAAGCAGCCACGATCCCTTGTCGGTTCTTGCAGAGAGGTGCTACAGTAATTTATCACAAGCTACATGTATTCTTCACCTTCAATAAAACATGCAGAATTTATACGAACTCGTAAGCACCTCACTGAGTGTGTATATATTTGCGATGACGATTAAGATTAAGTTTGATTAAAATTCATCAAAATATGATTGTCTTGCTTTTCCATTTGTCCAATGCAGGAAGATTCGAAACATAAGCCAGCATTATCACAGTGTTGGATATCTATAAAAGGGCTGATTATAAAGTTTTTCCTCCCGAGGATTTCCTGATGAACTTGAATTAAGACATAACTCTTGTCACTCTGTGGCTACTTCTTTACGTGCTCCATTTTTCATGTAGAGACGTTGCTAGGTAGTGACTCGCCTGCTCCTAACGAGATTCCCGACAGGATACCGTCCTAAGATATCCGAAGGAGAGATAGAAATTAACTTAAACAGTCCCCCATTCTCGTCTCTAAAGCCATTCATTTCCTTTTCCCGTTTGGAGATTTCGATTCGTCTATCATGTGACCGCGTCTTTTTCGCGATTTTTCGCGCGCCTGTTAAGCCTAATCTCGCCTTCCTTCCACTAGAGCCTAGTCTTCATCATTCAACTCTGACTCCTTTGCAGCGTGATGTCACGCAATGCTTGCCCTGAGGAAGACCAACGACAATGATATTCACGATCTTCCCAATATTCTTGAGATACGACGAGGATGAGAGTCTAAACCAACAAAGAACGCAAATTTGGCTGCGTTTTCGTCAAGCCCATGGTGTTTATTAGCTCATTCTTCTGGACGTAAAAATTGTCGGACTTACATAGTTTCCGCAATGCACGCTGAATGTAAATAATCCCTGTCTCCAGGACTGCAGATCACATGATGATAATATGACTATTACTGTAACACATAACACTCACGACTGGAGATGGTGCAGTGAGGTGAGTCTAACGAATAGCCTCAAAATCATGTTGATCCTCGCTTGGAATGAGAGGCAATCTGATCGGGCTTTAGTCCTAATGCTCACTTCCATTTGTACATATTCAGATTGAACTACCGGTACGGTAGTACCTGGGCAATCAATCGTTAAGCTAAATTTAATAGGCATAGTAATCATTGTTTTCGTTGCAGCCACAGAATCTCCTACGACTACAAGTCAAAGGCTTGCGCAGAGATATACCAAAAATATTTGACCATGCGTGCAATCCTGCAGTTAGCAGTGTTGTCCTCCATAGTTATTGTTGCTCAAGCAAAGAACATCAGTCAGCCTCATATAATATTCATCTTGGCTGATGATTTGGTGAGTACTGTGAGGTAACCCTTTGACCCTTAAAAGTCATAACCCTTAAGCTCCCAGATCAAATTTGTAATTCTCCTTGCTGTCAACCATAGAATTCTAAGTTATAATCATTATGTTAGTTCAGGGAATGTAGTATTAGATCAAGTAATTATCCCCAAATTGATATTTTTCTTTTTCTTTCATCACTTATCTGGTTGATATTGTATTGATGTTGTAAGGAGAAATTCTGTCTTGATCATTCATGGGAGTTAAAGGGATAAGCATCTAATTTCTCCTTACAATATCACCCCTGGTTCAAACATTAGGGTCACAAGAATGAAGGAAATGATCACCAGTTGAAGAGGCTCTTGATTGTTAAACAAATTCCCCTTGCCAGCACCTAAGGAAATGTATAGAGAGCAGAATGGAGAATATGCAAACTGATGGTAGAGTGAAAAGGTCTAATAGGACCATATGTTATTTCTGGTTTATCATGATAATATTTATTATTAATTTTTAAATATGCAGTCTTTGTTTTAATTCCCTTTTTGTTTTTCTTTGTTTGCAATATTTAAACATCCTTACTGCAAACGAAATTACCCATTCATGCAAAGAACAATACTTTTTAACCCTGTCACTCCCAAGATCTGATTGTTAATTCTCTCCTGTTTAGCTGCTAAACATTTTCTTGTGGATTGCATGGTTGCAGGAATTTGATGTATGATTAAGAATTAACAACCTCTACCTGATAAGTTGGAATATTCTCATTACCTGTTTGTGGATATTTTAGGGAGAAGTTACATTTTAATCACCTCTTGGAGTTTAAGAGCTGAAAGAAATTATGAAATAATAAAAATATCATATGGTAGAAGTGATATAATAAGGCTGTTGTGTTCTTTCTTCTTTTTTTCCATTTTTTTAGGGCTGGGATGATGTGAGTTTTCATGGCTCAAAGCAAATTCCGACTCCTAATATTGATGGTTTGGCAAACAATGGAGTGATCTTGAACAACTACTATGTGTCACCAATTTGCTCTCCAAGTCGCAGTACTATCATGACAGGAAAATATCCCATACACACAGGTAAATATCTGTTACAACCAGTAAAATATCTCGTATACACCTGTAGGCAATTATCAGTTATATCTTTTGCAATTCAAATTTCCCTTGCTCTAGCTTGAGAATTAATTTTATTGATATAGATCATCAAAAAAAAAAAAAAGAAATTTAATATCTAACTGATTTGAATGATGACTTAAAGTTTAGTTTTTCACAGATAGATTGAACCACCAGATATAGGAAACCTTAAAAAAATTGTTTTGTATCTACATTTTTTGGTGAGATTATGAAGCAGCAAAAGCAGAAGTTATCTTAAATAATCAATTGTATGGTCTAACTGTGTGTTAACCCTTTATTCTGTCTAACTCCTCTTTAACTCCTTTAACCCACAGAGGTGACTAACATTTAACTTCTCCCTATAATATTCATAGTAGCAAACAGGTAATGAGAATACTCTAACCTATCAGGTCAAAGTTGTCATCTTTATGTAACACCAAATTCTCCTGAATATATGACTGTAATATATAGGGAAATATGCAGCAGCTAGCAGGGAGAATTAAACGTCAGATCATTGGAATTATACAAGGGTTAAAATAGGAAATGACTTCAGATAGGACACCTCGGGTGATTTAAGATTATATTAAGCAAATTTAACAGCATCTGAAACCTTGGCCCTGGGTAGGACCTTATTGAAGAGCTGCTGTCTGGCTTTCAGAATGAAATTTTTGGGCATGTATATTCAAAACAAGAATGTTAAATTGAAAGACAGAAAATTGTGCACAAGTGAATGAGGGTTTTGGTAAGAAAGATTTTCAGTGAACCAGTATTGATTAACATTTTTTCCACAATGACCATTTCCAGGAATGCAACACAGTGTTATCATGGGTGGAGAGCCTTTTGGGTTAGGTCTGGAGGAAAAATTGCTACCTCAGTTTCTCAAAGAATTGGGTTATGCCACACATGCTGTGGGAAAGGTACAGATTTGAATAATTCTAATTTATCATAAGAGTAGGCTTAGTACATGTACTTTATGATAGTTGCTACAGCATGAAATGCAAAGCTGGGCAAGATAAGACAATGAGTGGCCTGGTACTAGTAATAGAAGCCTTTTAACCCTTTACATCCTAAAATCAGAATGCAAACTCTTCATACTATGTTCTATACACTTCTTAAGGTGCTGACAAGGAGAATTTATATAACAATCAAGAGCTTTTTTGTTTGGTGATCATTTCCTCTATTCTCATGACTTTTATGTGTGATTCAGGGGTGACAATGTGAGGAGAAATTAGATGTTAGTCACTCATAGGGGTGAAAGGGTTAAGAAGCCATTGTATTCATAATAAAACAATTTTAGGGTTTAAATGTATGTTCGTGGACATGAATATCTTCTGGTACCAAGTCCATGGGTTAGCTCTGAAAAAGGCACAGTTTTTTACTTTTTCTCTTTAAAAAGACCGAACATGCAGAGGTTGAAAGAAAGTGGTTTTAAAAACTCCATTTGCAAGTATTGTGTTAGAATTATTAACAGATAACATCATGTGATTTCTCACTGTGGGTAGTAATCCTATATGATTTTCTGTGTGTGTCATTAAATTTGGTTGTTGTTGATGTGGAATTGCAAGTATGCTTTGGAGTATATGAATCAATTTATGAAATATCTTTGGTTTCATGATGTTTTGCTCAATTTGTCTGTCAGTGGCATCTGGGATTCTTCAAGTATGACTATACCCCAACAAAAAGAGGATTTGACTCGTTCTTTGGATACTGGCTGGGTGCTGGTGACTACTGGGATCAATCTGAAGCTGAAATGTATGGGTCATGGGGATTGGACCTAAGGAACAATACAGAGGTACATGTACATGCACTGAAATTTCCTTTGTATTTAAAATCTCATACCAAGAGTGATTCATGAGAGCCTCTACAAATTCCAACTGCACAATATTTAATCATCATTGTTGTTGTCATGATCATGATCATTGTCATTATAGGAGGCAGATTCAGGATATTTTGCAAGAGGGGATGCACCACTAAGAAATAAGTTTTAATTGACTGCTGAAGAAGCAGGGTTATGACAGGGCAATGACATGGTGTGAATTTTTGAGAATACATAGCAAATGATACAGCAGATTTTGTATCACCATGAAGCTGCAGGACATCTCATGGGGACGGGGCAGAGGGAGGTACATACCCCCTGCACCCCTCCCCTCATAGATCCACCTTTGCATCGTCATTTCCATTTTCAAAGAAGAGGTATATATAGGGGCTGTCAGATTTTTCTCCAACACACTTAATTCCCATCTTGTCTCTTTCCTTCAGAATGACTTCTTCATACTTTTTTAAACAAAATGAATGTTTAAGAATTCCTTTTTGTTAATTTTGCAGCCTGTGCATAACCAGTGGGGAAATTACCGCACCTACATGTTCACAGACCATGCTGTAAATTTGATCAACTCACACAACACCTCCAAACCACTCTTTTTGTACCTGGCGCATGAAGCAGTTCATAGTGCAAATGCACACCAACCACTTCAAGCACCAAAGGATCTGATTAACAGGTTTAACGACAGCATCCATGATGAGGATCGGCGAGTTTTTGCAGCAATGGCTACAGCACTGGATCAATCTGTTGGAAAGGTGAAGTGAGCGATGCAAGCTTGTAGTCACTGATAGTTTCATTTGGTGTATCAAAAATAATCTATTTGATCTTGTTGTTGGTTGACATACATGCTGTACATTGGGATAAGATTCAATCCTGCAGCAAAAGGAATACCAATGCAATGCTCAGACAAATAAGAACAAAGTTTGGAGTTACAAGAAGCTTCTTAAAACCATTTATGTCAATTCTTTTTCTGCTGGATTTAATTCTTATACAGGGGGTGTACGTACTATAAAAAAGTCTGTACTAGAGCTTATTTTAGTCATCCATCCAGCTGGAGCTTTTTAATCATGTTTTTCCAGAGCATGAGGTGACTAAAAGTATCACAACACCCACCCTGGATGGGATGCCAGTCCATCACAAGGGTACTCCCTGTCAAACTATGCTGAGAATTTGCTGATAGCCATTTACACATCTGGATTGAGAGAAGCACTGTCATAGAAAAGTGTTTACCCCAAGAACACAACACAGTGACCCAGCCAGGTCTGACTCTAGACCACTGCACCTACTGTTAAGTCACCACTTCTTCCAATTTATACATACTGAGTCAATGAAGATTTTCTTGTCAGTCTGACTCCTGAACTTTTTTTTTGGTTACATTAGGTGGTTGACACACTCAAAGCAAGAGGAATGTATGATAACTCCATCATTGTGTTTAGTACTGACAATGGTGGACCAGCCAACGGTGTAAGTCGGAACACAGCTTGTAATTATCCGCTGAGAGGAACCAAGTATACTTTGTGGGAAGGTGAATAATGAATGATTATAAATGATTATGATAAGATGATGATGGAGGATATAGATTGTACTATTAGCCTCTTAATACCCTAACATCAGTATGCATATTCTCCATACTGTTCT